ATGAGGAGCTTCATAACTTGTACTCTTCTCCAAGTATAATTAGAATGATAAAGTAACGGAGGATGAGATGGGCAGGGCACGTAGCACGAAACGTGGAGAATATGAATGCATATAAGATATTGGTGGGAAAACCAGAAGGAAAGAGACCACTGGGAAGACCAAGGTGTAGGTGGATGGACAATATTAAAATGGATCTTCGAGAGACAGGATGGGATGGTATGGTCTGGATTGACCTGGCTTAGGATAGGGACCAGTGGAGGGCTCTTGTGAATACGGTAATGAACCTTCGGGTTGCATAAAATGCTGGGAAGTTCTTGAGCAGCTGCAGAATTGGCGGCTCCTCCAGAAGGGCTCAGCTCCGTAAGTAAGTATCTGGGCAGACTCTATTAGTCTGGTACATATCAACATTTCCGGAGGAACTTTCTGCCTCCATCTTCAGAACAGAAGAGGGACGGTAGAGTGAAAACCTCAAGTATCTGACTTAACAAAGGGTAACCGAACAGCGTCACGAGTAGCCCCCACATGTCGCTCGGTGGGGCCGTATCCTGAGCCAGCTGAACCCATTCCACGCCCTCACTTGCAGTGATATGAAAAGGATTACTGGGGCCGCACGCGATCTGAGATGTTCTTGTTACCGATAAAGCTGTTTGGAGTGGCCGTGGGGGTGGCCCCTATCTCGGACGGGCACAGCTGTGAGTACTTCCTTTTCTTGTTGATTCCTGGCAAAGAAAACCAACAGGATGTTGTTTTTTGTATCCGTGTGTGTGTGTGGGGGGGGGGCACTGGTGGGCCGGCAGGTGAGAGAGCGCACACGTATCTTGTGTTAACTTCCTGTTGTACGCACGGGCAGCAGGAAGGGAGGAGAGAGAAAGGGAGGGCGAAAATGGAGGAAAGGCAAACGACAGGAAGAGAGAATAAAAGAGAGGAAGAAGGCAGGGAGGACGGAGAACAGAACAGCAGAAACAAATGAAGACGGGACAAATGAAAGAGGAATAGAATAAAAGGGAGAAGATAAAAGGAAGGAAGAGGGAATAAAGAACGAAGAACAGAAGAGGCGAAGAAAAATGAAATGAAAACGGAAGTAAAAAGTAGAGAAATAAAGAACAAAATAAATTAAGGCAGAGAGAGAAGCACTGAACAAAAGAGAATAAGAAGTGGGGGAAGGAACAGAAGAGAGAAAGAAGTAGGAAGAAGGGCTGCCAGGGAGACAGAAGGAAGTAGGTGGGTGGAGAAACAGTTTCAAGGATAATTACGTACATAAGTTCAAGTCTCCTTGCTGAAATGCGTGAGAACAACGCGGAGGAAAATGAAGTAACCATTTAACAATAAAGTTCCTTCCGTCAAATGTGACACTTTTTTAAGTTTTCCACCTCGTCAGCAGGTGCTGACGAGGTGGAAAACTTAAAAAAGTGTCACATTTGACGGAAGGAACTTGATTGTTAATTGGTTAGTGTGACGGACCAGAATGAAAGACCTTAAACTGAAGTAACCATCTTACACAGTTCCATAGTGCCGCGGGAAAACCAAGAGGAATAGAGAGGCGAGTTCCATAAGCTACTGAACATCTGACCGGACTTGTACTGCCCGATCCCTGACATAGAGGAGGATGAGAACAATTTGTTCCTCTATTCTTGTGACGTTGCAAGGACAGAGACATGACACATCCAACGATACAACGCACGCAGTCACAGGAGAAGAACATATCATAAGTCACAATATACACACAACCTTAGAACATAAGAAGAAGACCCCCAAGTGGATGATTAATAATACACACGAATTTTAAAAATATGACGTATGAGATAATGGGTTTTAACAAGTTTTAAACACATAAAGTTTATTATTATACTATAAGGACGTATACAAATTTAATATTATTTGTAAATGGACATATAAAGGCAAGCAGTGAAATGGTTGACGGATCGATACACCTGAAGATGGCAGCATACTGCCGAAACATGTAGTGTGGAAGTGGTAGATGGGATTGTGTTCACTTGAAGACTGTTAATATACACACATTATGGACAGAGACTATATTTCCTAAAATATCTGTCTGCACATTTCTTAAAAATCTTAACATTTCCTTCTAGACAACAAAATTGCAATAATGCTTCGTGAGACTATGTTAAGAGTGCGACGGTAGAGCGCTGCACGCGCTGGCAGCAAGTAGTACGAATCTTGTCACTGGGTATATCTACCAGTCATAATCCCTCTGTTGCCATTCTCATGAAAACTGCTGTACACAGAAAATCTTCTTGAAATGTTCTCAAAATTGGACTGCTGAGTATGTGGTGTGGATCCCCCTAGTGTTACGGGATGCAGAGTCCGTGTTTCGAGACCCGGCCATTCAACAGAATGCTCAGTGAATTTGGTTGAGTCCGCTGAGATAAGGTCTGTTACGGTGTACAAGGATTATACCAAGGCTTTAGTCACAGTGCGTCACCCACCCTCCCTCCCTCTCACAATTCAGCTGCAACCACTGTCCCGGCATTTCTTGGCCACAATTCTCACGCGCACCTAGGGGTCAGGGCTTAAGATGCCGCGATCTGTACTGGGTACTTCAGCTCGCTTGCGGTCACCGTTTCGCGGGCCACAGTGTAATAATCATCTGTGGAATTCGTGTCGAGTCTCTTTTAGTGGGTAATTAAACGGCGAGACGTGGGGCCTGGCCAGCCACTTCTTGTCGCCTTGTGACCGTAAAAGTTTCCTGAGCCTTCCAGAAAATCTTCATCCGGTTTCATGGACTTTAGAGACTGAAACTGCTCCACGTCCATCAGCGACTCCCCCGGACCGACGCCTACGTCAGAGCACTCTGATGGGGGAAAGATTGGGGTGGTATGTGCTGGATTCATCTGACTCGGGACAGGGACCAGTGGATGGCTCTTGTGAACATTGTAATGAACATTTGGGGCCCATAAAATGCTGAGAAATTCTTTAGTAGCTGAGCGACTGGCGGCTTCTCTAGAAGGGCTCAGCTGCATGGAGTTAGTTAGGGTGTGTAAGGGTAATACAGGGCTCCCACTCTTCTACAATGCAGCAGCAACCACTGCCCCGCTACATTTTGCCATCCTGTCCTCATTTCTCGTCAGGCCGAACACGACGCGTGGTATCTGGGAGGGGCTCGGCCGGAAATGCGCATCTCCCCCACACGTTTCAATGTTTTTCCTCAGTCCCTCCATGTAAATGCCAGGAAATTACCTCGATTAGGTCACGACCGCTACCTTCCAAATCCTTTCCATTTCATCAGCTTTTTATTATTCATCCCACCGTCCGACGCCACACTGTCTTGGAAGCGTATCCCGTGTCCACACGGCACAGAATGAATAGCAGCTTGTCAAAAACGAAATCGTCGAACAAACTTACCCGGATTTCTGTGGCACGTAATTAGATTGGTAAAACTGATAATGATCTAGCATCGTGGGATAGGAGCATGCGGCTTGTATGATCTCAAACGGTTTAAATGAATTCCGCTTCCATGGCAACCAGCAGGACGTGAAACTGACAAAACCTTTTCAAGATGGTCACTGTAATTGGATTCACTTTTCGCTGGACTTGATGTCGGCTTCTTACTCGTGAGAATCGTAAGTCTGCTGCCGCGGACACTCACTGCAGTGAGGTTTGGGATTCTCACGGCGTTTGTTGAGAAGATTACCGTCGTTTCGGAAGAGACACCGCGTACTGGCGTTACATTGCTGCCACTGTCCATACAGTACAGCGTCGGTTGGGTCGATGATGCATTGGTGACGAATTCTGAAGGATCGGGAAGGAAACGGTCTTGGCCTGATCGCGATACTATTGCACATTTGCCTGGAGGAACTGAGGAAAACCAATGAAGACCTCAAGTCAGTTTGGCCGGTGTCGTGGCCGAGATTCGAACAGTCTCTCTCTCCAATTCAATTCTGTAACGTTACCGCGGCACCGTAGTCGGTTGATGCACTAAGCTACAAGCCGGGAGGTCGCGGGTTCGATTATCGATGAGGTCTTTGGAGTTTTTCAATTGACCTAATCCTTCCAGTCGCACTATAGCCCTGGGGTGGACTCAGCCACAAACAGAAATGAGTGCCAGGAATCTTCCTGGGGGTAAAGGGTAGCCGGCACCTGAGGCTGATAAACTCACCGCCATCTCTGAGCTGACTATCTAGAAAATGTATGAGCCTCCACGTCTCAACCCTATGGGCATACACGGTCTGTTACAGGGATAGCTTTATTTTTATTTTTTTCTGCCGAAAGGCTAATCTGCTCGAGAAAAACAATCACGATTTGTTTTGGAGGCCAAACTCTCTAGCTACCAGATATTTATAAAATTTTCACCCATGTTGTATCTGAGGTTCTAATGACAATGACTAAGAAGTACTGTATTCCGTTATATGACTCCATGTAGTCCGATAGACGTTTATTGGTACTTCGGAGAAACCTTTTGCTTCCATCTTCAAGGTGGTAGAGTAAACCTGGCATCCACTAAACTTGTGCTTGCTTCTTTCTTGTTGTTTATTTAGCTTACACTTCGACACTGAATATGGAGGCAATACGATCCCCCAAAACGTGAGCAAACGTTTTAACAGACCACACGGTGTCACATAACAGCTCATGGACCTGGTGCTCTTAATTTCATCCTATATTTATCGGCATTTCTAATTCTCTTCGTGCGTGTAACTTGCAACATTCGTATCAACCCTCCTGAATTTTTTAGTTTGAACTGTATGACCCCATTAATGCCCAGTGGTTACTACATGTATATGTACCACCTGTTTTAACACACTAAATTCCCGCATTCTGCCCACAGGGTGTATTTGTGTGTTCCGTATGGTTCTCACAATAAACAGCGACTGTTTCCCTAAACAGCATTAACCGGTTGGGCTTTGTAGCGGAGACGTAATGAGTTTCCTGTGAGGTACGAAATGAATTCATTATATGATTTCGAAGGAACTCAGTCTTTCTCTCTCTTCAATGCCCTGAGGACTAAGTAAAGGCACAGTTCTGACGTAGTGAAGGCTGCTTACCTCCAGAGTTTGCCCAGCGTCTTGCTGAGCTCGGCGTTATGCAGCTGCGGGTACTGGTCGGCCAGTTTCCTCCTCGCCGCCTGCGCCCACACCATGAAGGCGTTCATGGGTCGCTTGACGTGCAGCTTGCGTTTATCGGACGACGCTCTGAAATCAGACATTTTCTTCGTGAATGTAGAATAATACCCTGTAACTAACTGCATGGAGATGGGTCCTTCTTGAGTAGGTAACAGCTACACAGATAATCAAGAAACTCCCAGCATTTTGTGGAACTTAAGGTTCATTACCGTACTCACGAGATAGTACCATTCATCCCCAACTTAAGGCAGATGAATCTAGCACAAACCGTCACATTCTAACAAAGAAACTCAGGATTTTGCCCACACAATGCATTTGTGTTTCATATGGTAACAGATAAAGCTCTCCCTGTAACAGGCCGTGGAAGCCCATGTGGTTGTGAGACGTCGAGGTACCCACGTTTTCTAAACAATCGACACACAGATGGCGGTGACGTCAGTCTTATGCGCCGGCCACCCTTTACCCCCAGGGAGATTTCTGGTATTAATTTCTATTAGAAGCTGAGTCGACTCCAGGGTCATAGTGCGGCTGGTTGGGTTGGGCCAACTGGAAAATCCAATGATATCATCGGGAATCGAACCCGCAACCTTTCGGTTTGCAGCATAGTGCGTCAACCACTTACGTTAGCGCGTGCCCCTGCATTTTATCTGAGTTTACATTAAACAGAGATTATTTCCCAAAATAACATTAACCGGGTGGGCTTTATAGCGGAGACGTAATGCGTTTGCTGTGAGGTACGTGCTGAATGGCTATATATTCTGCCCACACAGTGTATTTATGTGTTCCGTGTTGTTCTCACAAAAACAGCGACTGTTTCCCTAAACAGCATTAACCATTTGGGCTTTGTTATGGAGACCTAATGTGTTTGCTGTGAGGTACGAACTGAATGGCTATATATTCTGCTCACACAGTGTATTTGTTTGTTCCGTATGGTTCTCACAATAAACAGCGACTGTTTCCCTAAACGGCATTAACCGGTTGGGCTTTGTAGCGGAGACGGAGTGTGTTTCCTGTGAGGTACGGAGTGATTTTTTAAATTGCCGATTAACAGTTCAACGTGAAGTCTCTTCATATGAACTTGCGCGCCTTTATGCCCTTCTCCCCCTTTCCCCGTATTCTTTGGCTGTTACCGTCACTCCTCTCCCCCTGACGTAAGGGTGTGTGGCTGTATAGATGCAAGTATTCTTAACCTCGGCACTATTTGGAGGGTCAGCTTCACGTCCTGGTCGCTTTACTCTTTGGAAAGGAACCCCCAGTGCTTAATGGGTAGGAGGCTGAGGGGGCCCCAGAACCGGTCTGGGAGACGTGAAGAGAAGAAAAATCTTGCCTTTACTGGGTCTCGAACTCCGAACCCTCGGCCGTCCAGCCTCGTAGCTAGTCCCTGTATCGAATGTGCCAACCCGGTTCTTTTCGACGTGTTGAAATTCATTTTAAAATTATCCTCCATTCTTTCGGGAACCCTGTTGCAAGTGTCATCACTGCCGACGCGGCCGATATGTGCAGGGCGGGTAGCAAATCCCGCGCTTGTCCGAAAGTTTGTATTTGCTTTCAAGAAGCGCTTCTGTTTGAGTAGCGTTCCTACCTTTGTTCTCTCTGCTTCTTTCCTTGCGTCTGGCTAGTGTTATGTCAGTGACAAGCACTACCTTCTGGAATGTGACGTCGTTAAGTCCGGTAAGAGTTCAATTACAAGTCAGAGGAATGTACTGCCTCCATCATCAGGGTGGAAGAATAAGCCAAGTGGCTATATTTGCAGCCTACTTTTTGCTGGTCTCTTCCTTGGCTTATTAATCTCACATGGGCGGAAGAAAATGAACGTAATCCCTCGGTAATTTCATATTGTGGTGTACTGACCCGTTTCTAAGCAGTGACTCTGTAAGCAGCGTGGACAACGGCTCCCTAAACACGTTCCCGTTGCTGGGCAGCATATTCTTAATAATGCAACAGTTGGTTTAAGACAACGGAAACGGGTGTTTTCTGTCTGGGCCGTGCCAAGATGTTATAAGAAAGGGAAAAAGTCTGTTGGATACTGAGTTCTGTACGGGAGTGTCTGAAGATAGAACCTGAGCGCGTGAAGCTGAAGAATCTACACTGTTAGAAGCCGTTGCCAGGGAACGGTTGCTAAAGACACCAGGCTAGAAAAAGTCTTAGTGGGTGTTGTGGTGAATTGTGGAGATTAGCGGTGCCGCTGTAATTGCTTGTAGTTCCGAGTCGTGTATATGAGTGATTAGTAAACCCATTCACAAATCGAAACCCCGTCTATAGCCATTTTTACAGCTGACAATATCAAATTGTCACGAAGCGTTAAATCTTATTATATTCGCAGTGTTTTTTTTGTTCAAAACCCTACAAAAATTCTGCGATAACAAAAGCGGAATTACTTCAACAAAAGTTGCATGTCCTTCAAGATGTCATCTAAATGATTTCAACTGCCGTTAGTATGGCTCCCACTTCAGACTTTTGCGCCTCCCTTATACTGTTTATTACTGTTCTACGGAAATTAAAACGGATGACGTCGCCCTGGCCTCCACTGACACTGTGCACGCCAGGTTTCTTGAAAAATCGGTTAACTGAGTTAAGAGTGGAAATGGGGAGAGACACGGGTGCGCACACGGACGCCGCTGTGCTCTCAATATGCTTACTTTCTGTTCAAATGAAAGGAAACATAGTACTCAAAATACAGAAAACTCTGTTACATCTTCTACGTAAATATGAAGTGTCCCTGTGTTTACTTATGCATCACGCCATGAACACACAGGGGGAGTGGAGGTATAACTCCATGAATTCTTAACCTCGGCACTTGGTAGAGCTGAATGATTAGCTTCAAGCCACTCCATCCTTTTCCCCAGGGAAAATAATCATTTCTACCCACTGGATATGAGGCTTGGTGGTCCCAGAGCCGGGCTGGATGCTTTGGAGAAGAGAAAAATGTCTCAGTCCTGCCACGAATCGAATCCTGATTCCTTGACATTCCAGCCAGTAGCCTGATCACTATACTGACTGAGCTACCAGTCTCAAATGCAGCATCCAGCATGCCCGTATTCAGTGACTGTGTGGCAGCCACGAAGTCGTTTACTTTTAGGGAGGAGTCGAGTGGGGTCTTGTTTGTTCTTCTGCCACCAGATTTCACACTTCTGTGAGCTTGAAGAAATGTATCTCAAATGATGCGTGCGTAATTGTGAACCTCTTTCTTTAACCATTTAATCCTCAGCGGTAACTGTATATACCACGTGCTTTAATATTCACAAACCGCTAATTTTACCCACATAGTGTGCTTGTATATTTCGTACGATTCTCACAATAAACAGTGACTGTTTCCCAAAACAGCATTAACTGGTTGGGCTTTGTAGCGGTGACGTAATGTGTTTCCTGTGAGGTATGGTCTGAATTGCTATATATTCTGCCCTCACCGTGTATCTGTGTGTTCCGTACGGTTCTCACATTAAACAGAGACTGTTTCCCTAAACAGCATTAACCGGTTGGGTTTTATTATGGAGAAGTAATGTATTTCTTGTGAGGTACGGACTGAATTTAGAATAAATTCAGTTTTAAAGAGTTAAGCAGAGAGACAACTTTAACCTTTAGGGTTCTAGGAACACAGGCACAAGCAGAACTTCCCCCCTCGGCGGCGCGTGGGTCTGGGGACGGTGTTGGGCAGCCGCAAACTGCCGAGTCACGTTTCCGAATTCTGCCCGAGGCTCTAATGAGGAGTCACGTTCTTTGAGCCACGAGCAAGCGCGCTGCTTTCCCACGTACTGACAAGTAGCGGCACGCTGTCAGGTGACCGGGAGGGCTGTCGGATGCCACTCTGGCCCAATACCGTACGTTCATTACGTATCGTTGTTTATTTATGGTTTGTAAGCAGGAGTACCCGTTCTTCGTCCGGGTTATTATTCCTATCGCAATCTAGACATAGAAACTTTGTTCCTAGCTTTTAAAACAGTAAGTTCCGGGAAGAACTAATCATTTACTTTCCTTCGATACGATACGGACCGCACAGAATACGGCGCCTCCAATAATTCTGTTTTTGCGTTTGTATTAGTTGCCGCGGTAACGTTCTGCCGAGCAACGATAAGGGGATACACATACTCGAATACACACGCAAACAGAAAGGGCGCCGTTGAGATGGGTTTAGGCACATATTCAAAGTTTCATAAAGACTGGTTCGCGCATTCAGAAGCTGATAGGGCGAGTATACTCAGACAGCATGCTGATTGCATATGCCTACGCTTCCTTTGCAAAGTAAGGGAAGTAGGCTAATAAGGAACTACTGTAACAGCCATTGACAATTCCACGAGAAGTCTTATCATTCTCCTACCTTGTTCCGCATGCGCTGAAGCCGACGTTAAACGCCATCCCCACGAATAATACGCACAAATAATGGACCATAAACCGTCTCTATATTGTATAGCCTACTACTCTTCACATATCCACATGAAAATATCAGTGCTCACATATTACACACGATACACTGAAACGAAAAGACTGCTTGTTCGATCGTGGTCCGCTGAGTAACTCAACACTCATAATTCGTTGCCGTGGTAAACCGAAATTGCGAAATGTCAACAAAAACTCAACAAAACTTCATGTGGGCCCGTATAACACCCAGATAAAGAAATTAAAATAACAGCATTGTGGAATGTGACGCCGTGTAGATTCATAGGTATGTATAGGTCGTCCTTCCAGACGTGTGAGAAGTATGGCGGGAAGTAGCGGGGCAGTGGTTGCATTCTTAGAGGAACTGAAGGGGACGCGCTGTAACTACCCCGCCCTGCCGTAGCATAGGCCCCCCTCATACTTAAGCACCATGCTATGAAGACGTATGGGGGAGTGGAGGTATGGCTTTACGCAGTCGTAACCTCGTCACTAGATGGAGGTGAGTGGTCAGCTTCACACCCCGGCCGCTTTACTCCAGCGGAAAAGTTACCCATTGTATCTGAGGCTGGGTGGACCTCAAAGCCGGTCTTGACCCTATGCAATGTCCCTTCCAGGAGTTTAATGCTGATTAGTCAATCGTCCAGCCTAATCACTATATTGACTGAGCTATCCCAGCTCCCACCTCTTTAAATGTA